GGCCCGGACCGCTCCTCGGGGACCCGGGGTGCGACTTCCCGCCTGGGACGCAGGACCCCTAAGCCGCCACTCTCGCGGGGGGCGTTATTTAACCTCTCTAGTGACAGACAGGGTCTAGGGCCCTGCTCTTCTGAGGAGCCGCAGGGTCCCCAAATTCGTTAGGTTTTCCGGAGTAGACATGCTGGCGCCTTTGGAGACGTCCCCAGATTGCCGGGGAGTCCTGCAGCTTCCAGCTTCTCGGGGCTCAGCCCCAGCATCAGCCTGAGCGCGCCCGCCCGAAGCGGCTCGGGACAGTGCAGGGCCGAGGTGACAGGCCAGGCGCCCCTCGGGAATCTGATGTTTGGTCTCTCGGAAAGCATTCTCTCCCGGGACCCGGAAGTCTGATTAGTGTCTAGAGCAGTGGTTCTCAACCTTTCTAATGCCGTGACCCTTTCATACAGTTCCTCATGTTGTGGTGACCCCCGACCATAAAATTATTTTCTTTGCTACTTCATAACTGTAATTTTGCTACTGTTATGAATCGTCATGTAAATATCTGATATGCAGGATGTATTTTCATTGTTACAAATTGAACATAATTAAAGCATAGTGATTAATCACAAAAACAATATGTAATCATATATGTGTTTTCCGATGGTCTTAGGCGACCCCTGTGAAAGGGTCGTTCGACCCCCAAAGGGGTCGCGACCCACAGGTTGAGAACCGCTGGTTTAGTGGGCATTGTGCCCCCGTTAGTGATTCGAGGAGTCATGGGTGGGAGGCAGAGGCCCAGAGCTTAGAATTAGTTGTTTGAAGTCCTAGGACCTAGAAGGAGGCGGACAGAGTTGGGTAGCGGGGCTGGATTCTAGAACCAGTTAGCTCAGTGGTGGGGGTTGGGGAAGGGGCGCTCCTAGCTCTTGCCTTCTCGGTATTCACCTGGTGACTTCTCTTCCTCCCACCATCCCCTTCAGAGGGCAGGCCTCCCCGCCCCCCCCCCCAATCTTTTTGTTGTTGTTAATCCTTGCCCGGGGATATTTTCCCCCCCGATTTTTAGGGAGAATGGAAGGGGGGGGACACAAAGATGGGTTGCCTCCTGCACTCGCTGGACTGTGGCTGGGATGGAACCTGCAACCCAGGTATGTGCCCTTGACGGGGATTCCAACTCGTGACCCTTCCGAATGCAAGCTGAAGCTCTACTAACTGAGCCACACTGGCCAGGGCGATGCCCTCCCATCTTGACTCGTGAGAGACCTTGATGCCTCAAAGAATCTGGCTGTGACTTCATTTGCCATTTACTCTTTTATTCTGATTGAAGGAGAGACTTCTTACCTGGTCAGTGTGGCTCAATGGTTGAGTGTCATGGATTGATTCCTGGTCAGGGCACATGCCGGGGTTGTGGGTTCCAACCCCAGTAGGGGGCATGCAGGAGGCAGCTGATCAGGGATTCTCTCTCATCATTGATGTTTCTATCTCTCTCTCCCTCTCCCTTTCTCTATGAAATCAATAAAAAATTATATATATATTTGTTTTTAAAAGGAGACTTCTTGCATAGAATCAACTTAGATTTTTAAAAATGTATTGATCTGAGGTAAATCTGAACCCACCAGTGGCAAAAGTAACAAGTTGCTTTTGGGAGGATACCAGATCTTTGTTTTACTCAGTTGGTTGATCATAATCCCATGCACCAAAAGGTGGATGGTTTGATTCTCAGTCAGGGCACATGCCTGGGTTTCAGGCTTGATTTCCAAGAGGGGATCTCTCTCTCTCTCAAATTAATAAAAACATGAAGAAGAAAAGAGTCGGAAGGGGACTTTAGTCCTTGCTTGATCAACTTCTTTGTTTCAAGAGCGAGGTGGTAAGGGCCCAGAGAGGTAAAGTGATTGGCCAAAGCCACATGTCAGGTTATTAACAAAGTTGGGTTCAAACCTAGGCTCAAGATCACCAGGTTCCATGCCAAGGCAATAAATTGTTACTGTTTTTGTGAAGTTGTATTCCCAGTTATTCGGCACTTAGTTATTCAGCTCACACCAGGTGCCAAGCCCCCTTCTAGGTGCTAGGGATCAGCAATAACTAAAGTAGTGCCTGCCCACATAAGTTTATGTTTTAGTGAGGGAGACAAATACTGAATATGTAGTAAGAGGTTAGGCAGTGATGAAAAAATCATGAAAAATATGGGCCACGGAGAAAAGATGGAGTTGACAAGGAGCTTTTTTTTTTCAATTGATTTTTTTAGAGAGAGAGAAAGACATCAGTTTGTTATTCCACTTATTTATGTGTTCATTGGTTAATTCTTGTATGTGCCCTGACTCTTGTATGTGTCCTGACTGGGGATCGAACCTGCACCCTTGATGTATCGGACGACGCTCTAACCAACTGAGCTATCCGGCCAGGGCTAAGCCCTTATCCTTGTGAAGTGGTTTCCCTGGATTTACAGAACCCTGAATCTTGTGGGATCTTTCACAGAGACACAAGGTCCGCTTTGTAGCTCACACTGACATTATACCTGGAAATCCCTTTCTTTCTGTCAGTTGCATTCCCAGCTGAGAATTTGTTCAGATTTCAATTAAAGTGCAGTTCTCCATGCTGTTTTTCTTCTGCAATTGTTTGTGATCTCCTTTTGTGTTGCATGCTTTTTAAAATTGTTATTCTCTATCAGTTGTGCATTTTTCCCAAATCAGGCAGCTATCAACTTTTATTCTTTCCTTTCCCAGACTCACACAATAAAGAATCATAATATGTTCTCCTTTTATTTATTTAGTTTTAACTTTTATTGATTTTAGAGAGGAAGGAAGAGAGAGAGAGAGAGAGAAACATTGATTTGTTGTTCCATTTATTTATGCATTTATTGGATGATTCTTGTATGTGCTCAGACCGGGGATTGAACCCACAACCTAAAGACACTAACCAACTAACCTATCCAACCAGGGCCAGTATGTTCTCCTTTTATTTTATTTTTGTTAATTCTTACCCCAGGATATTTTGCCATTGATTTTTAGACAGAGTGAAGGGAGGGGTAGAAACAGAGAGAAACATTGATATGAGAGCACAACATTGATCGGGTGCCTCCCGTATGCCCCTCACTAGGGACCAAGACCACAACCCAGGCATGTGCGCTTGACTGAGAATCGAACGGCAACCTCCTGGTGCAAGGGATGACACCCAGCCAACTGATTCACACTGGCCCTTGCAGAAATCTCTTGACTAGAGAATTTGCGAGGCTCTTTGCACTGTTTCTGTCAGATTGTGTTCCTTTACATTTCATTTTCACCATATTATCTTTCCTCTTGCTACACATTTATTCTTGTGTGAATTTTCAGTCTTCCTTATTTTCATACAAACAAACAGGTCCACTTCAGTAATTTGCACATTCCCCCCTTAACTTTCTTTTTATCACATTTCACTTTATCCCTTGGCCTGGAAAGTACATCATCATCTTAGACTTTCCTGATTTAAGAGCCACAGAGAAATAAATGCTACTCTGGAGTTTTTTATTTGCTATCCAGGCAGTCATTCTATATACAGTGGTTTCTCTGACTGCAGTGTCCATGTCAAGGCTGTGTTTACATTCTCTTTGCTTTTGGAACAGAGCTGCTTTTTAGTGGTGATTTGCTCATCTGACTTAGAAAGCAGCTCCAAACTCTGCCGTCCAGACACTTGTTAATTCCGTTTCCAGGTTTAGCCTGACAGTCTCTGGTTTACCTTCCCAGCAAGTAATTAAATGCTTCCCTTCCTCTTTTTAAGGCCTGAAAGGGCTCAGTGGTGAGCCCTTCATCATCAGGCACAGCTAGAGCAGATGTGTCATTCTTCAGGATCATGACTGTGTCCTGCTAAGTTCCATGCCCCATTGACCAGGAGCAGAACCTTGTGCAGAAGCTGCATTTACAGAGCTTGGTGTTAGCCTTTTCATGGAAGAGTGATCTGTGCTTCCTCCTGTTTTCATTTTCATTTTTCTTCACTCTCACTCTCTGAGTCTCCTCTGACATCAGGATTTGAAATCTGTTTAGGAACCACCACTTCACAGTTCCACCAACTCGCCCCTTGCCTCCCTTCCAACCCCCAATTCTTCTGGTTCCTGCCCGGGAATTACCATAGTATTTTTGACGCCTTCTACCTGCCAGACCATGCATTCATGCTTCTTGGGACACTGTCTTATTGTATCCTCAACAAACCTACAAGGTGGAGACCACTTCCGACTTGCTGCTGACAGGGAGATGCTCGTAAACATGGTCACACAGCAGAAAGAGACAAGGCTGGCTCCTAAGTGTTGTGCTTCCATCCCAAAGGTGTTGCAGTTGATAACTATTTCTATACATTTTAGTTATTAAAAACCTGATCTTCTTTTTAAAAAAAAGTTACCTTGGTTTCG